CGGCGACGACCCCCCCTCGCGGGTGCGACCCCCCTCGCGGGTGCGACCCCCCTCGCGGGTGCGACCCCCCTCGCGGGTGCGACCCGCCTCGCGGGGCTGCGACCCCCCTCGCGGGTGCGACCCCCCTCGGGGCTGCGACCCCCCTCGCGGGCGCGACCCCCCCTCGCGGGCGCGACCCCCCTGCGGCCCCCCTCGCGGGTGCGACCGACCCTCCTCGCGGGTGCGACCCCCCTCGCGGGCGACCCCCTTCGCGGGTGCGACCCCCTTCGGGGCTGCGACCCCCCTCGCGGCTGCGACCCCCCTCGGGGTGCGGCTGCGACCCCCCTCTGTCGCGGGTGCGACCCCTCCCGGCGGGTGCGACCCCCCCTCGCGGGCTGCGACCCCCCTCGCGGGTGCGACCCCCCTCGCGGGTGCGACCCCCTCGGGGCTCCTCGCGGGTGCGACCCCCTGCGACCCCCCTCGCGGGTGCGACCCCCCCGGGGCTGCGACGACCCCCTCGCGGGTGCGACCCCCCTCGGGGGGACCCCCCTCGGGCCGCGACCCCCCTCGGGGTGCGACCCCTTCGGGGCTGCGAGACCCCCCTCGCGGGTGCGACCCCCGCTGCGACCCCCGGGTGCGACCCCCTTCGCGGGTGCGACCCCCCTCGCGGGTGCGACCCCCCTCGGGCTGCGACCCCCCTCGCCCCCCCCGCGGGTGCGACCCCCCTCGGGCTGCGACCCCCCTCGGGGTGCGACCCCCCTCGCGGGTGCGACCCCCCTCGTGGGTGCGACCCCTTCGCGGGTGCGACCCCCCTCGCGGGTGCGATCCCCCTCGCGGGCTGCGACCCCCCTCGCGGGTGCGACCCCCCTCGCGGGTGGCGACCTGCGACCCCCCTCGGGGCCGCGACCCCCCTCGCGGGTGCGACCCCCCTCGGGGCTGCGACCCCCCTCGGTGCTGCGACCCCCCTCGCGGGTGCGACCCCCCTCGCGGGTGCGACCCCCCTCGCAGGTGCGACCCCCTTCGCGGGTGCGACCCCCCTCGCGGGTGCGACCCCCCTCGCGGGTGCGACCCCCCTCGCGGGTGCGACCCCCCTCGCGGGTGCGACCCCCCTCGCGGGTGCGACCCCCCTCGCGGGTTTGACCCCCCTCGCGGGTGCGACCCCCCTCGCGGGTGCGACCCCCCTCGCGGGTGCGACCCCCCTCGGGGCTGCGACCCCCCTCGCGGGTGCGACCCCCGTCGGGTCCTGGGGTCCAGGGGGGTCCTGGGGTCCTGGGGGTCATCGAGTCGATTCGGGAGGTTCTGGGGTCATCGGGGTCCCGGAGTTCTGGGGGTCATCGGGGTCCTGGGGTCCGGACCGGAGGGGAAAGGGGTTCGGTTCGGTTCCCGTCGGTGTCGGTTCAGGGGCCGCCCGGTTCCGGTTCGGTTCCGGTTCTGGTTCGGGTCGGTTCTCGCCGGTTCGGTTCTGAATGAATTCGGTTCGGTCCGGTTCGGTTTTCTATACGTTCCTGGTTTTGGACCGGTTCGGTCCGGTTCGGTCACGGTTCTCGGTTTTCGGTTCGGTGCGGTCCCTTCATGTTTAAGTCCCCTCTTCATGAGTCCTTCCAGATGTTCTTTCTCAATGCAGGAAGCGCTCCTTTGAAAGGCGGGCGCCCCCATCGGCCTTCCAATCACCCGAGAGTCCTCTTCACGAGTTAATGATTTGGCTCTTTTCTAGTGGCAGGGGGTGCGGAGCCACCATGTTCAAGACATCTTCCAGCAAGAGCACCGTTTTGAAAGGGAGCCGCCTTTCGTCCGTTTGAGTTTTGCACAGGCTTACACGTCTGGCAGAACTTGCTGGGATGCATCAGTCGAGAGCCCCGTTTTGAAACTCAGCCGCCCACCACCCGTGCACTTGGTGGAAGCGTGTATGACGAATGCGCGCGGCGTTGAAACGAGAGCAACATGCTGAACGTGGACAACATCTCTTCAGGTCCCTTTTGGTGACGAGTGTCTGTCAGCGTGGGCCCCAGAATAATGGATTGCACTGCTGATGTGTAAGTGGTGCAATCTATGCGGTGCCAGCTTTTGCTGTGTACGCTACATGGCGCAGGCAGTGTGGATGAGCTGCGTAAAGCAAACCAGGTGCTACAAGCCGTGCGATGCAGCCTATGTCGTGCAAGCTACATCGTGTGAGCTACGCGGTGCAAGCTGCATGGTGTAAACCGTTCTTGTCAACTCATGAGTTGTCATCTCCACTGCTCGCGCACTCCTCCCACCCTCCCGCCCGCTTGTTTGCTGAACCCATGCGGCTACGATTGCGAAGACTGGCGCAGACTGGCGCATCTCTGCGGCCACGCTGGCACGCTCAAACTCGCGCAGAGCGGCCAACCGTTTTGGCACAGCCGATGCGCCCGCGATGGCGCTTACCGATGGCAATCCCCAGCGCGTCTCAAAAGGCCTCGCTGGCGCGAGTGCACTCAAATGCGTGTCGGTGAATCGGGTGGGCGCGGTATCATGATAATGCCGACATCGGCGGCAACGGTAACGATAGTAGCAATCGCGCTTGTGATGGTGACGGTGACGACGACGAGGCCAATGATGGCGCCGATGTTGATGACGACGATGACAGTGATGATTTCCATGTGTCGGTGATGCAGGTGTTTGAAAGGTGATAACGGCGACGGCGGCGATTTTCGATAACGATGTCGTGATGCGGCGGCGTTGATGGGGGTGATGGTGAGGAAGTGCGCGCGTGGAGATCAATGTTTCCCCCCAGGGGAAAGGCGTGTGTTTTTGTGCACGTGTGTATGTGAAGAGTTCTGCATGGGAATATTTCGATTACCGATCGTGTTGGCCGGGTTTCGACACGCGCGCGTGGCGGCGCGCGCGTGTGAACCGCATGATGTGTTTGATACGGGTTCGTGCACTGGGCACACGTTGGATGAAAGCGAATGCGCCGCGTTTTGACATGAGACTGTGGGTGTTGGACGTCGTTGCTATAACACCCTCTGGCTTTTCGGCGTTTTCGACAAATGCGCGCGGGCAGAGCATCTTGCAAGATGTGTGATGGAACCCTCACCTTATTTATGTTCACGCGCGTCTGGACGTGGTGCTTTCTTGTTGTTGCATTGGTATTCTGAGCAATCACACTGTGCGCGCGTCGTATTATTTAAGAGATGAAAAGGGGCAACGCCCGGACTGGTATGAACTCATATGGAGAACGAATCACGAGGCAGCATCGTGTGCAATTCGCAGTGTCCCAGGGGTTTCCTGTAACCCCGGGAGGAGCGACGGGGTATTTCGTCGAGCCAGAACGCGAAAAAATCGGTGTGGTGCTTGCCATGTGAAGTTGAGTAGACGGAGCAAGCAGCGCGGTGCAGCTGAGGACGGTGTCAACTTTGCGGAGCCGGCTGCGCGGTGAAAACCATGTGGTCAAGCCCTTAGTGGGCCTTGGAAACGGCAGGGCCGTTTTTTCACCGTTTCCGAAAAAGTGCCCCTTGAAAATGGCAACGGCAAAAACAAACGGCGACCGGAAACGGCAACAAAAACGGCGCCAGAATTGGAATTGGAGCGGGAAGCCGTAAACGAATTGCGACGGAAACGGTAAAACAACGGCGTCGGAACCGGCACAACACCGGCAAAACGGAACCGGGGAAAAAACGGCCCTGTCGTTTCCAGGGCCCACTAAGGTGTCCGGGGCTCTGTCGGATCTCCTTGTCCGTCTGAGGGCCGTCCGGGGACGCCTCAGGGGCGCCTCGGGGGCCGTCCTGGGGCCCCCAGGGGCTGCATTGACACCTCTGGGGGGGCGTCTGAGACGGTCCCGGGGCGACCTTGGGAGCCTCTCTTGTGCCGTCTGAGAGCGTGGAGGAGAAGCCGGAAAGTTTAACATGTGATTCTTCATTGCAAAAGCGAGAGAAGACAATGATCCGTTGATCTTTAGATTCTTGTTTGCGGGGGTGTTCTTGCCATCCGTGCGCTGCAGGCCACGCGGCGCAAGCCGTACGGCCGCCCGCGGGGCGCCCGCGTGGCGAAGCCTTGTGGCGGAGGGCCTTTTGCCACGCCCCTCCGCCACGCGGGGGCGCCCGCGGCGGGCCGCAGCCGGCCACGCGGCGGGACCTCGGCGCACCCGCCGGGCGCCCTGCGGTCGGCGCTTCTGCTCCTCCTCTTCCTCCTCCTTCTCCTCCTCCTCCTCCTCCTGAACCTCCTCCTCCTCCTCCCTATCCTCCTCCTCCTCCTCCCTTTCCTCCTCCTCCTCCCTATCCTCCTCCTCCTCCTCCTCCTCCTCCTCCTCCTCCTCCTCCCTCCTCCTCCTCCTCCTCCTCCTCCTCCTCCTCCTCCTCCTCCTCCCTCCGGGCCAGCACTCGGGCCCACAGAGGGGCCCACTCGGCGGCCCCGAGGGGGGGCAGCACGCCGAGACCTCGGCGCTCCCGCGGGGCGCCCTCGCGTGGCGACACCTCGGCACAGCCACGAGGCCCCCGCGGGCGGCAGCGGGGCGGACTCTCGGCACACCCAGGCGGCGATCCCTCGGGAGAGCCAAGTCGGAAGCATTTCTCCTCCTCCTCCTCCTCCTCCTCCTCCTCCTCCTCCTCCTCCTCCTCCTCTCCCTCCTCCTCCTCCTCCTCCTCCTCCTCTTCCTCCTTCCTCCTCCCTATCCTCCTCCTCCTCCTCCTCCCTATCCTCCTCCTCCTCCTCCTTCTCCCTGTCCTCCTCCTTCTCCTCCTCCTCCCTATCCTCCTCCTCCTCGTCCTCCTCCTCCTCCTCCTGCTCCTGCTCCTCCTCCTCCCTATCCTCCTCCTCCTCCTCCTCCTCCTCCGATGAAGTCCGAATGTATGCAGCGTTTTCGGAATCGACCCGCACTCCATCCTCGTAACGGCTGGAGCTCTCAAGTTTGACGTCTTTCTCGTTTGCGCGGCAGTCTCAGACGAAACGTCTGGCCCGCCCCACTGACACTCCTTGATGGTGTGACGAGGTCGGTTCTTTTTGCAGGAGTGGTGGAGCAGGAGCAGGAGGGCGTCTCAGGGCTAGTGCCGAACCCTGACGAGGAGGCTGGGCTCGTGGCCATGGCACCGAGCTCCGAGACGATCAGGAAGATGATCTGCGTGGCGGCCGGCTCGCCGGAGCTCGAGGAGTCCGCGTGGGGAAAGTCGTCACGGAGGGCTGTGTTAGGATCGGTTTTTGGGGTGCACAGGGGGGCGGCTCCGTGGGTGCAGGGGGAGGAAGGGAGCAGAGAACGCCGAGCGAGCTCCACTACGCACAAGAAGTACCTACTCGCAAACGTCAGGGAAAGATGTCTGCGTCGATGTAGTGAGTCGTGGATCCGCCGCCGCGGATCCAGTGTATTTGCGAGTAGTTGCTTTTCGAGTAGTGGAGCGCGCTTGACGAAGGAGAAGAGTCACCCACCCCCCGAACGTAGACTACCCACCTATAACGCAGCCCGGACCTCGGTGACACCGAGCCAGCGCCCGCGCGGAATGGGCGTGACACCTGCATCCCGGCGACGGTCTCGGAATGGTGCTCTCGCCTGTGCGTGGGCCACATCTCTGATTGAAAATGTTGTTGTCGCCTAGGGGCTGGCTACATCCTTCATTGAGCGTGCTGTCCTCGCCAAAAAGGATGACATTCGTACGTAATCGCAGTGACCTCGTAGCGCCCCGAAGTAGCCCACATGCGTGGAATCTGGAACGGGTTCGCGTGAGCGGAATCGCTTCACCCTGACGCCTTCACGATCTGGAGACTGTGGGATGTTATGGCGTGTCGAGCCGAGCGCTTTGTGCGGGAGGCGGCGACATGAAGTATCCCTGGCCAATATGCGTATGATTACCGGAACCGTGCTTGAAGACGGAGCCTGACACAGGAGAGTTGGCACGATTGTGTATACCTGTCGTTCTCCATCTGTAAGAGAAGCGGCGGATGCAGGGCCTCGATGACGTTGTTGTTGCACTGCGTTTCTGTCGCAGGCGATGGCGCTGCGGCATGCGCAGTGTTTTGCTTCCTGGGTGTGTGCAGAGCGGGGGAGGCTTTTTTTCCGCAGGCGCTGGCACTGCGACATGTGTATCTCAGCGAGCGAAGAACGGTATAATATTAACTTTTTCGCTGTCGGGGGCGCCTGTCCTTGGGCGGCTGGAAAGTTTATACCCCTACGGTGCCACCGTAAGAGTATAAACTTTCCAGCCGCCCTGGGACAGGCGCCCCCGACAGCGAAAAAGTTTATGTTATACCGTTATTCGCCCGTTAAGTATCCGTCTGCTCCTTGGGCGTGAGAAGGGCGGGGGAGCGGGAGGAGCCGCGGAGGGGAGGGGGCACGGGAAGGCGAGCTGCAACCCATGGCGAAGAGGTATGCAGCAATGCCCCGCAGGATGAGATGGTGAACCTCGTGTGCGACGAGATTGAGGCAGCAATGCCGTGGGCCAAGGATCCCCATTTGCCGAGAAGCAGGGACGAGGCTATCCAGGGGGCCTCGTCGTGTCTTCGAGAGTGGATGGCAACCTGCGAGAGGGCCATGCGACAGGCATGCCAGACAGAGTCCTTTGTGCGAGGGCTCTCGGCAGGTGAATGGACGCACGGCTGGAGGCAACGGTGTGCCCTCTGTAGTAGAAGACACTTGCTTCACACGACGGACAGCTTGTGTGCAGGTAACAGCAAGCAGCGGAAGTCGGAGCAGGCGGTCTGACGCAGGATTCTGTTAGGCTCACGCTCTGGTGTTGTTCTGGGCTTGGGTGCGCTGGGCACTCCCATCCTCAGTGGAACTCCTCCTGCTCCTCCTCCTCCTCCTCATCCTCCTGTGGAGCCCCGCTCCTTCTGACCCCCTCCTGCCCAGCGCCCTCTCGGGCGAGGGGCCCAGCCTGGAGCACCACAGGGCCGCAGCGCCTCCTCCTCGCCCCCCGGCCCCATGGGGGAGAGACTTGAGACTATGTAGCGTGAGGCTTTTCTCGTCATCGGCCGCATCAGCATCGTCACCACCATCATCATCCTTTCCCTTCTCCTCCTCATGTTCAGTCTCGTCTTCATCCTCATCATCATCTCCCTCATCCTCCTACGCGCAGTAAGACATCCGTACAACAAACGAAATACAAATCTTTACACTGAGAACAGACAGAACACTTTACACTCACTAGCAACACGAAACTCTATATACGGTCAACAATAAGAAGACATCATTCTACTCAAACGCAAGAAGAACGCTACTTGGGTCCACGAGCCCTGTGAGGGCACCAACAACAAACACCGCAACCAAAAAGCAAGCAACACACCTGCGAGGGCACCAACACCAACTACAAATCAATGGTTTTCATGTCTTCGGGCTTCTTCAGGGCCCCTCCAGCCCAGATCCGCCTAGGCAGCCTGAAGGCACGAAATTCATTGATTAGGTGCTTCTCACTGGTACTTCACAGTTTTGTTGTTGGTTGGTTTTGTGTGGTGTCTCTGGTACAGGGTTCGTGGCCCCAAGACGGTTGCGTATTGTTTTGCAGTATGTGGGTTTCTGAGTGTTTTTTGATTGCATGGGTTCTTTATTGGTTAAGTACAGGGTTTTCTTATCGTTTTTCAGTGTGGAGGTTGTTCGCTGTCTTTCATTGTACGGGCCCCCTCGTCCCCACGACTTCTCCCTCCTACCGCCCCTCCGTCCTGACATGGGAAGCGAAGGGGAGGATGAGGAGGAGGAGGAGGACCACTGTAGACCCAAGAGTCATCGACGATGCTGGGATACACCCTCTCTCGGAACTCCCTTGTCGTAGGCCCCTACAAGGATTCATGCCCACCGAGGGAACCGCCCCGCTGGAGGACAACCGTTCGATGACCCCGAAGCATGCCAAAACATTCTTCTCGGGACTCCAACGCCACGAATCAAACTGACTGTTGCGTCTTTACGGGGCTGAATCGTGTCAGAACGGCACCCCTGAGACCTGGTCCGGCATTGAAACGGAAAGAGCGCTTCAGAAACAGAAGCGGAAATGATTCACACCACCGTTCGTATTGGGAGCCTTGGCGTTGAGAGCTTGTTACGTCACCCCTCGCTCTTGGGAGCCTTGGTGTTCAGAGATTGTTGCGTTACCGCCCGTTCCTGAGCCTTGGCTGGGCCTTGGTGTCAGGAACTTGTTACGTCACCGCTCTCTGCTGGGAGCCTTGGTCTTATCAGCTTGTTTACGTCACCGTTCGCTCTTGGGAGCCTTGGTGTAAAGAGCTTTTTGCGTTACCGATCGCTCTCTATTTGGCGTCTCTGGGCCTTCTTGGGAGTCCTATTGGGGCTCTTGTCGGGCCCTTTTGGAGGCCTCTTGGGAACCTCTTGGGGGCCTCTTGGGGCTTCTTGGGGGGCTCTGGGGGCCTCCTGGGAGCTTCTTGGGGCGAAAGGCTAGACTTTTCGGTTCGTGGTCCCCCTCTTGGGGCCGTCTTGGGGCCCTCTTGGGCCGTCTTGGGCGCCTCTTGGGCCGTCTTGGCGCCCTCTTGGGCCGTTTTGGGGGCCTCTTGGGAGCCTCTTGGGGGCCTCTCGGGGCGTCTTGGGCGGTTTGGGGCTCTCTTGTACCGCTCTTGGGCCGTCTTGGGGGGGAACCCGAAAAACATGCAAAAACCCGAGGGGGAACCCGAAAACGGCCATTAACACGCAGTTGGGCGACCCTCGCCCCCCTCTGCACTCCCACCAAGGGGCTTCGCCCACACCAGAACGTCATCACTCGTACCTCGCTCTTTCCGTGACCTCAACACATCGAATCAACGTTTGTTGCACCCTCAGAATCTTGAGTATTTCCCAGACGCCGTTTCTGGTACGCTTACATGGGGGCCCGTAGACCGTTTTACCAGTTCAACAAAGAAATGCGCGCGGCGCTACGGCGAGAACCACATTTTGAGAATGAACCGCCCTCAATTCATAGAATTGTTGCAACATTTCAAAACGACTGTGCGCTGTGCTAAGGCGCGAGCCGCATTTTGAACATGTGCCGCCCTCAATCCATGAAACATTGCAAAGTTTCAAAACGACTGCGCGCGGCGCCCAGGCGAGAGCCGCATTTTGAAAACCATTCGCCGTCAATGTTTGAGACACGTGCAATGTGTTGAACATTGCCCCCTGTTCATCTGCGAAGCCGCTGGCCATTTTAAACTGCATGGTCATACATGGTGAAGAAGTGTCAAGCGAAACGCCAGGCCCGCCCTTTCGACCGGCCTCCGGGTGCGACAGGGGGAAACCATCCATAAGCAAAAAGAATCGGGGGATGATGGTGATGGCGATGACGATGATTATTATCATGATGGTGGCGACAACGAAGACAGGGACGACGAGGGATGACGACGATTATGGTGACGACGAACAGGATGAGGAGCAGCAGCAGCAGAAACGATAATCATGATGGCGGCGATGATGGCGATGGTGATTTCAATATCATGGAAAGGAGGAGGACATCACAGCACAGTCGCACAATGCATATAAAACCGGTACGTCATCAAAGCGCTTCCGGTTTATTAGCACGATCATCTTCCCACCTCCGGTGTTCCTCTCTGTCGTAGTCTTGCTCTCCCGCGCCATTATCATCATCATCATCATCATCATCATCATCATCATCATCATCATCATCGTCATCCCTTCTCCGCCAAATCCGCCTCCCCCTCGTCATCATCGCCCCTCTTTCCCATGATCAGCATCATCCATCCTCTTCATCCGTAGCCATCCGGCTGAAGTTCGAAGCGTGTCTCTCGCGCTTTGAACTTGACTCCTGCCGAGGTGAGGATCGAGCGTCCTTTTGTTGAGGTTCGGCCACGCACTCCCTGACGTGCGCCAAAGCACACTTTGTTATGGTTTCCTGCTCCGCGCCGCCCATCCCGCCGCCATGGCCACAGTCGATATGGATGCCCTCAAGACGCTGATCATGGACTGCCTGCAACCGACCACCACCCGTCTCGATTCGCTGAAGGCCCAGCTCCAGACCCAGACGAATCAAGTCCAGCGCATGGACCAGAGGCTGGGCGAACGCATGGACAAGTCCGGCAAGGACGTCTCGGACATGACGACCGACCTCGACCGTCAGGCCGCCAAGCTCGTCGCGGTGGAGATGGCGGCGGCCTTGGACAATGAGCAGATGAGTGGCCCGTACGACAATTTTAATCTAAGCGAGGGTAGAGTTCACTTTCGAGTTGTTCGGCACTAGACCGCCGTGGCCAATCTCGAGGCCGGGCCGACATCTCGCCCGATCACATTTCATCATGCCCTGTCACCAATCGCAGCTGGATCGTCGGGAAGCTTGGTTCACAGCGACCCATGGTCTGACTGGAGGAGCGGGCGGCCAGGCCCACCAAGCATGCCAATTTCTGGGCCTTCAAGCCAAGCGCCGCAGCGCACCGAGATGACGATGCCCGCCCATGCAAGCTCTGGGTTCGGGGTTTCCCGAGGCCGCTGATGACGTCGCAAGTGGAGCTGAGGTCCCATCTCCTGAAGAGCAAGTACCCCGGGATGTGGCGCCAACGCGTGCATCCACGGGAGAAACTTTAGGGGCTCGCGCGCCTTCGAGCTCTCGTCCACGGAGGAAGCCGACCAGGTCTTGGCCCTCAGCAAAGGTCCCATGTTATCTTGGACCGATCCGCGCGACCAAAAGAGCCGCGAGCTGAGGGTCGGCCGCCGCAGCCCGTTGCCCGCCCACCAGAAGAGCTACGTCCTCGGCCAGGCCGCGCGCGAGGCAAGGCCAGCATCGCCGAGAGGAGCGTGCGGCGTTCGTCTTTGAAGATGAGGAGCAACCCGTTTCAGGGACAGCTGTGCGCGATCGACAGTGATGACGCATGTGAGTTCGCACCGGTCAAAGACACCAGGAGCTGCAAGACGTTTTAGGGCCATCCTAAACGTTTCCAAACACGAGCATTTCAGAGTCCAAAAGGCCCACGCTGAGACCTTCCAGATTTCACCAGGCATGCCTTCACCCGTTTGTTTGCCCAGGGCGGCGCAGCTGCTGCTGGCGTCTCTGGAGGGAGTGGGGATGGCCCGCCATCTGCGCCAGCTCGCAGCACTAGGTCGAGCGTTTTCGAAAATCGCAGAGCCCTCAGTCTCGCATCCCGGAATGCGAGAGCTCGCTATGGGAGCGTTCGCGGCGGCCGTCGCAGGCAGTTCGGCCGCCCCCGGAAATTTGGCAAGCTCATCGGATAGTTTGACATTATCATGTGTCCAAAGACCAACGGTACCTCGGAATATCTTGAAACCCTGCGACGGCTGCACCCCTCATTCTCCCGTGTCGGCTCGTTCCGCGCTGACGCGCGCGCTGGAGGTGCGACGATTTCAAGTGAGAAGACGATTTGGCCAAACTCGATGAGCTCGGCTTGCCGCAACTTGTTATCGCGGGCAGATGATTGGGATCAGGCTCCATTGCCCCCTTGGGGACATGCTGTTCATGGACGCGCGCGTCGATGCGCGTCTCCGGCAACATGCTGAATACATGAGCA